CCCCGAAATGACCTCAGTAAGGAATATTACGTCAAACCATGCAGGTGGATGTGTATCCGACATAATGTTTACAGATCTGAGTGGTACTAGTTTTGAAAATGAATAAGATGTTGATTAATTATTTTGTCAGTAATTTAATTAATCAATGGACGTTATATCTTAAACATAGAGAGATAAATTGGTCAATTAGATTTTTATTAATTAATTAAGTGAAGGTACGAATTTATTGAATAAATTGGAGCTAAATGGGGAGAGCAATAATATTACTCTAGTGGAATGTTTTATTATTTAAGTTTATTTAGGAATTAGGAATTAATTATATTCCATAATTAAAATTACCTAAGGAGAAGAATATTCCTTCTAGAATATTACATAGGGTTAGGAGACTATGGAGTCTTCTAGAAGGTAATTAGGGTTAGGAGGAATATTATCCTAGATGGGAATGGATATGGAACATGATTAGGTTTCCTAAATCTAAAAGGATAAGCCCATATTTAGCACCTCCTTAAGGGCCCTAATGTAGCATTTAAATACACCATGTATTGAACTCCTCCAACTCATACATACACGCACGGTTTAAGGATTCCTACGGGAAATGGAAATCGATTGTTCTATACATTGAGAGTTAGAGATATCCAAAAAAATGCCCACCGAGATCTATACATTAGAAGATCTTAATGTAAAATAGATCGAGCCCTTTTGATCTTCTAAATCCGACCAGATCCGCCGCCGGAAATCGTTGTTGCCGCCCATCGTCGCCAGCGTCCCAGCCGCACGTAGCCATTCGCTGCCGCACGTTCTTAGTGACGCCCAGCAGCTCCCAGTGTCGCCCGCGCACGTTGCCATCCGAGTTCATCGCGCGTCATCTCTGTGCCCGTCCACCTGCCAGCGTCCGCGCATGTCCTCAGTCGTCCGCTTCTCTCGCCCGCGCCCTAGTCCTCGCAGGAGTAGGAGTCCCGCGACTGCACGCGCCCAGGGAATCCGCTAGCCGCCTGTGCACGCCAGCAACCTGCGCGCGTGTCTGCCAGCGCCAGCGGTCAGCCCACACGCACGACTAGCCTGCCGCACCGCCTGTCCGCGACTGACCGCGACCAGGCTCGACCTGTAGACCCGACACCGAGCCGCAACGAACCCAACTGAGCCCAGCCGATTCCACCCGCGACCCGACTGAGCCCGACAAGACCTTGACCCAGTGACCCGTTCGTGATCCTACGACCCGATTCTGATCAAGGAAGTCTAGTCCGGCTACCCAACAGACTCTGCGGTTCAGACGATCTCGTACAGAGAAAATTAGAAACGTCTTTGGGTCGGCAAAAATTTTAAAAGCTCACGTCCTAATCCTAACTATAGATTCCGCTGCATTAGGATTTATTCCGATAAGTTCAATACTATTCATGTTGTTGACGTTCCTAGCAGAACCCAACAACTGGTATTAGATCCAAGGTATAATTCAATTTTGTGCACATTTTGAATTAGGACTTACCTGTTTACGTGAATTAATTGTGGACGGACGCAGCGACATAGTAGATTAGAAATTGCAAATAGGTTGTTTGCAGGTGATTTCGAATCCGACTATTATGGCCCGTATGTATTGTTTTAATTCATGTGTGTATGTTGTTTTATAAGCCTCGGACATGTCGAGGAGTTTTTGGGTTGGTGAATGCTTGTAATAAATTATTCGCGTGGTGGAACATCGCATAGTTTACTGTTTTCATAGAAAACTCATGTACAACTCCTGCGCGGGTCATAGGATGAATTATGTAATTTTTATTATATGTTACTCCTTATTGATCCGGCGGACTTTGACCAACCTCGACAGGGCGAGGCGATAAACCCGCAGACGAAAGCCATGGTGTCTACCCGATGGAGACTTTCTCGATGACGGCTTGTTCAAGATGAATAGTGGGAGTGACGGAGAAAGAACGAGTTCCTCGTTTTGTTCCTCGTTTATTATTGCTTATTAATCATGCATGTCCTTATGTGATTTAATTGTTTTATGTGCAAATTAAATTATTAGGAGCATGTTTAGGAAAATCTCTTAAAATTAAAAATTATATTAAGTATGTAATGGATTGAAATAAATTGTATACATGGCCTCCATTATAGGTTTGTTAGTGAAGTGATTTAAATCGAGCCCAAAGGACGGTTTATCTCATGGTTCACAAGACAAATCTTCTTCGGGATAGTAATAGCGAGCTATTTCAAAAGCGTACGGGTCACTCAAAGGTGCACGTATAATTATTGGTAGTAAAATTTAGTACCAATTTAGGGTTATACTTAAAGTACAAATAATTACGATATTCCCAAAGGAAAATGTTGTTTTTATCTTGCGCTGGCCAAAAGGTGAACCGACTATTAATTAAGTACTGTAGGAGCAGTATGTCAATTAATGAGATTAATCCCTCCTCTTGCGATGGTTCTAACTGTAGACGTCCATACTCAGTGGCCTGCGGGGATTCGGTGTTTTGAGGTGTCGGTGAATTTATTTGAATATTGTTTTTGAAAGGATCAATATTTGATGTTAAATTCGAAAACACTTGACTGAGTAAAATCTATGTTTGCATGATCCCAGGAATTTAAAATGTCTTTCAATCCGTTGTCTGAAATTTCTCAAAGAAAACAAACTTGTTGATTCCAATTACATTGACTGGAAAATGAACTTGGATATAGTGTTAACTGCTGAATGGTACAAATTTGCTACTATTGGAGCTTGTCCTGATGTGTCTGTGGATGATGCACCAGATCAAGAGAAAGAGGCGTATGCTCGGTGGAAAAAGGCGATGAGATGGCGAAGTGTTACATCTTGGCATCTTTGCCAAATGTGCTTCAACATCAGTATCAATCTATGAACACTATGGCGGATATGCTCCACAATCTCAAGGAACTGTTTGGCCATCAGTCTCGGGCTGCACGACAAGAAGCCATGAGGGTTCTGATGAACATGACCATGTGTGAAGCACTCCCGTAAGGGAACATGTTCTTGCTATGATGGACCAGCTGAATGAGTTGGAGGTTCTTGGGGATTTTATTGACGAGGAAACCCAGGTCGATATAGTGTTCCAGTCTTTTCCGAAGAGTTTTGAATAATGTCGTTTGAATTACAACGTGAATAAGATGTTAATGACTCTTCCGTAGCTTTTTGCTGAACTCCAATCGACAAAGAGCCTGTTTCGTCAGAAGTCAGAAGCGATGATGGCCCAACGGGGTGAAGGTTCTTCTTCTAGGCCTCCTAAGGGTAAGAAGAGGAAGAAGTCCGCAAGAAAGGGCAAAGCAGTCATGAATGATGCCTAGTAATTTAAAAGATGGATTTGAGGGGATCCAAGGACAAGTTATTCAAACAATAAGATATAAATGTACATATAATAAAATGTAGTTAGTATAATATAATAGAAAATAGTAATTATTTCCCATGGATATAAGAAATTAGGCAAAAAAATTATAAAAATATTAATAAATATTATTTCGCTAATCATACAATCGATATTAAAATGACAAACTAACTACGCATTTGTCGAACCGCCAAGTAAATTATCAGACATAAATAAATCCTTCCAATCTTAGAGTTCCATTTGAGTTCCAGCGGCGACAGTTCCAACTTATAGTTTCGTGTACCATGACCATAAACAAGAGTCAGATACTGCTTCTACCGCACAATGACCTTTTCTTTAAAAAATTAATTTTTATTCACAACCAATTATATGTTGTTGTTTTCCGTGTAAGTAATAGAAATGAGTTGAAAATATTATTTTGTGAGTACGACGAGTTGCCCAATATCAAACTAATAATGTTGTATACTAGAAGGTTTTAATAATATACAATTTTTTCATTACGATTATTTTATGATTTGACAAATTTTTTACGTATTATAAGTATTTTATAATATTTCTCAAAATAAATACAGTCCGTGGATCGCACGGGTTACGCACTAATTGTAATTAGTGAAATAAATATTATAGAATATTAATCATGATTGTCTTAATCAGGCCTTATCAATTATTATACAGGAGAGTTTCATTGGGTCGTATATATGACATACAAAAACACGTGCATATATTTATTGATATAGAATTGACAAATATATATATACAAGGCACTCGTCTATTTGTGTACGTATATCAATTGATTTTTACACATTTACAAACCTAAATATACATGCATATTATATATATATATATATACACACACATACACTTAAAAGCTAAATAATATCTGGTGTGGTGTGTGGGGTGTGGAAGGAAAAAGGTTAAAGCATCTGTCATACATTACTAGGAAAGAGACGATGTATGTATGGGTAGAATAAATACAAGGAAAATTAGCTACTAAATTGAGAAGCTTCGGGGAGGCACTCCCCACTCCCATCCCCACCTAAGAAAATAGGTAGCCCACAGGCCACAGTACACACATTTACATACATAATACATACACGCACAAACTTTCTCTCTCCACAATCCTCTCTTTCCTTTTCTCTCTCTCCCTGCCTGCCTGCCTGCTTGAGAAAAAGTCAACAACCAGTAGACGAAAATATACAGATGAGCTAGCGAGCTTTTTTTTTAAAAAAAAAAAAAAGAAAAGAAAAGAACAAATTGAAGAAAATCTGTTTTAATTTGGGCATGGGTTAGATATTTGATATTTTGGTTTGGTATATTATTTAAAATTGGTGGGTGAAGGAAGAAAGCAGCGAGGTGGGGGTGAAGTGAAGTGAATGTGAATCCCTCTTTAGCTCCAGAAATAAACAAACATGATATGCTGCTATGCTATCTTGTGTGAACCCTAGCCAACCACGCATACATATATACACATAACATAGTACTACTGCTACACACACACACACTCTTTCTTTATCTCTCTCTCTCTCTACTATCATAATTACTTACTAAAGATTTGAGTCGTCTTCTTCTTCTTCTTCCTTTGTTGGGCCACATCAATAGATCAATTGTAGAGTGGGTGTGGGGTGGTTAAAAAAAAAAAAATTAAGGTGTGTGTTATTGTTAGATCTGTGGATGATGAATTTGATGGGAGGGTTTTACAAGGAAGGGGAGGAAGATGCAGTGAAAGATGAGGTAGTGGAGAGGGAGCACATGTTCGACAAGGTGGTGACCCCGAGCGACGTGGGGAAGCTGAACCGTCTGGTGATCCCTAAGCAGCACGCGGAGAAGTACTTTCCGCTCGACTCTTCATCTTCCGGGGAGAAAGGGCTTCTCCTAAACTTCGAGGACAGCAACGGGAAGTCGTGGAGGTTCCGATACTCTTACTGGAACAGCAGCCAGAGCTACGTGATGACAAAGGGTTGGAGCCGTTTCGTCAAGGAGAAGAAGCTCGATGCTGGGGACATTGTCTCCTTCTACCGCGGCCCCGGAGACCGCCTCTTCATCGACTGGCGCCGTCGCCCGGACGCTCCTGCGCCTCACTCTGCCCGCCCCTTGTTTTTGCCGTCCGGACACGGATTTGGATACGGATACGGAATAGTCACAGGGAACCCTTGTCCGCCCTATCTCACCAGGCCTTCTCCTCTGTTGGCCTGGCCTCATCACATGAATGCACATCATCATCAGCAGCAGCAACAGATTGTGTTTGATTCAGTGCCTGTGGTGCAAGGGAAAGCGGCTGCCTCAAAGCGACTGAGGTTGTTTGGGGTTAACATGGACTGCCCCACAGATGATAATATTTCATCACCGCTACAATTACTACCCTCGTCTTCATCGTCTTCGACTATCCCTCAACACAATACCAAAGGGAAGGCCTCCGCCTCCGTGTCTTTGGACTTGGATATCTGAAGAATCAACCAAATCCCAAATATATATATATTTTCACACCTCTCTCTCTCTGCTTCTTTCTTTTTCTTTTCACCTACTGCTGCTTGTAAAACCCATGACTTGATGATCTTCATTTTTTCTTACATAAATACATCATATTTTGTGTTATTTTATGTTTTTTTTTTTTACTCTACACTACTGTTTATCGATGTTTTATTTAAATTCTCAAGCTATCATCACGAATTAATCAACAGGAGATGGATAAGCAGCACAGCGCTCAAGGCCCCCATCCATCATAATTGACTCATATTCCTTTTTACATCTTTTTTTATTTACTCATTTATTTATTTAGTCTTGGTAGGTTAAATGAGATCTCATTTTATTGGGCTTAAATGTGCACCACTACTGGCCGGAGAGCGGCTTGATTTGTTCCCAAGGTTTTGAACAAAGGTATAAATATGTTACCTATCTTTATTTGGTTGCAATTAAACATCAGTCCACCTTATAATTAATAAGCAATTCTTTTTGCTCTTGATGCTGTTTTATTCATCTTCTCTTATTCTGAAATCCTTAATTTCTTCATACCATAATGCTACCAAAAACTTTCTGGGGAATCCGTTTTGGGCGGACTAATAAACAAATCCTTTTCATCCAGAGATTTAGATCTAAATCTTAGCTTTTTTGTTTTGCAAACTTTATATATATATACAGTGTTGGTCATGAACAATAACAAGTGAATTAGGGTGGATTTTTGGGCTTAATCTCTCAGCCATGACTACTTTTTCTTAAGCACTTCTAAATTAAAACCATGTACGTGCTACAAAATTTTCTAACTAATGATTGATATTTGGAAATAAATATAATATATGCCGTTTGGCATTGATATATATGATGTAATTTCTCTGCAAATTCCCCTAATTTGACATTACTAACATCTCTCTTTTCCTGTTTGAAAAGTAAGCATGTTTGATATAAATGCTTTCAGCCTATCCATACACACCGACCGGGATTATTGTGATCCTCTAATGAGTGATAGACAAATGGCCACAGTAAAAGGTACGCGATCTAATTATCACAATTTTATCCAATGATTTTATGAGAATATATATATATATATATATATATATATATATATATATATATACAATGCTTAATTAGGTTTTCATTCTTACATCCACACCAATTAAAAAGTCTTAATAGGCCATTAATGTCCTTGAAATTGGTTTTGGTCCCTGCTGATGAAATTGGGTCGATCCCTCTACAAAGATGATGTTACGTAGGGTACTCGTCAATCATGTATGTAGAAAAATATGTATGATTACTGTCAAATGTCCTCTTGGACATCACTGCCTAAGTTTCCTTTAACATGCCAATACTTTTTGTGGTCCTAAGATGTGCTAAGACTGCATTAACGTCCGAAAAAAATTCTGCTTTATAAATACTCGCTCCTTTTCATAATAATTGTCGTTTTAAAAAGTTGTACAACAATTAAGAATATTTTTTTTACTAATAATAACCCTCTTTAATGAAGATAGAGAATGATGTTTTAGAAAAAAATGAAGAGCGAATATGAAAAGACGTAGTGTATTTATTAGCTAAATGAGGGTAATAATGAAAAAATATGTACAAAAGATCCACATTTATTTTGTTAATAGTTAATAAAATCAAAATGACATTTAAAAAGAATAGGAGATAATATATGGTATGTCTGCATCTAATATAATAATTCACTTTAATAAGATAATATTAAAATGGTTAACACAGTTTTTAAGACAAATCAAGATTTTCTTGGGAACTTATAAGTAATTACGTCTAATTATGGAATCATAATTAATCAAGGTATTAATTACCATATATATCTACTACTACAAAACGTTGGCCCCCAGGAATTTTTTGCTTTTGATTTGGTCAAAAAAGCTCAGACGCAATGAAATTAATAATCCTGAGAGAGGGTCAACATACAATTTTAGAAAGTTTTTTATCGGACATAGCTAAGGATTCGTCTTTAAACTATATTTGAAAGTAAATAATCATGCACCTAAACTTGTCCAATTTCCGATTTCCATTTAAATTCTAGTCATTAGTCAGTTTAATATGGCAGTATAGCATTTTTTGCCGATAAATTTTTCTTAATACTATGCCAAATTATTATTCTTCTTCTTCTTTTGGTAATAGATCAATGCAAATTGGTAATAGATCAATGAAATCATACTAACCTCGCACGTGACAATAATATATTCAATATCTTTCTTATTTAACTAAAGACAAAGAAAACATTTATCCCTCTTATTATTTCTCTATATAGTGTGTTTTGTCAAATTAAATTTCAATTTGAGTCCTTTTTTTATGGTCATGTTGAATTGTTGACAGTTTTCAGTTCAATTGATGAATCTTGAGCTTTGCAGGAGTAAGAATTGAGCATCAGCAATAGACTAATGGTTAATGATGGAATCATGTATGGTAAATTTTCATTGATGCACTTTGCACCAATAAAGGTAGACCGTATCTTAATGCATCAGTTTGGCGTAATATAAACAATCAGTCACCATTGCTTGTAATCTTGGCCCCAAGCATGAAGTAATGTTATTGTATCAATTCGACAATAGAGGTGAATAATTGGAACTATTTTTATTTTTCTTATATCACGAGGTGAAATGAATATATCAGAAACCAGTAGAAAGCTGTGATAAAGTGGATTTGCATGTTAGTCTTCTGGTAGGCAGGCTGCCATATATAATTTCTAAATATGTATATATTAGAAAATGATATAAACAAAAATATAATAACATACAATTTTATTCATAGAATATAACAGAATAACTAACCTAATGGTTCCACTGTAGCATCACATTAAAAAATTGTGCAATTTACGACCTCTATATTTTTTGCAATGCTTAAATGTTTAATTATTTTTGGTTAATTGATATTAATTAAAGTGCTTTTTTTTCTAAGCGTCTTGTAATGGAGGATATATTGAGAGTAGATAATTATGGCATGAAATCATATAGATGAAGAGTAAAAAGATTTAAAATTAGCTATATATAAATTGGAAT